GGCGGCTGCTGCAAGGAGTGGATGGAGAAAGAGAAGTCAGAGCCTTGAGTTAGAGGCAGAGACGGGAGTCTGAAAGCTGTGTGGAGGAAGGTGGGCGTGGCTGGGGGGTTTCTACAGAGAACCTCCGAGTGAGAAACCCTGAGAGAGCCAGGGCCAGCATGCCTATGGTTTTGATTGTTCTCCAAGGAAAAGACAGAAAAAAGAAAAGTTAACCCTTTGTAGGCAGATCTCAGAAAAGCAGGCAGGCTTGGCTGTGAAGTCCTGTAAGCAACGGAACACAGGCTACTTAAGCAAACAAAGCCCTATTAAATACAGAGCAGGAGACAGAAAATTCCATGCCACTTCCACGTAAAGACGGCTACAGATGGACACTGGTTAACACTATAGAACCTAAAAGTCTCCCTTTCTCTTGTACTTTCTGGTAGAGCATGATTCCTCCTTCCTCCAGCTGGCAGTCGGGGGTCATCCACTGACTGTATGATAGACGACCCCGTTCTGCCTCCCTAAACAGTACAGTTTGCTTTCAGCTGCTTTAAGCCTCGAAGCAAAGGAACATACAGGGTCTTCTTGTAATTAGCTGCTTTCACCCCATATCATTTGGAGAGTGCCCAGCTGATGAATCCCCAGTGTAACTGTCATTTACTCCTTTCTTTGTGGCTTACTCCTAGTTGATTTCTTCTGCTATTGCTGGGTGGTGATACTGTTTCTAGTTGGTGCTGTCATGGTCTTTGAGGTCATTTCATGAGAGGTTTACCTAAAGTGAAGAAGACTCACATTGAGTGAAGGCAGCACCATTCCATTGGCTGGTGTCCTGGGGCAAATAAACAACCAGACATTCATCTCTCTCTGCTTCCTGTCTATGGACACAATGTGACCAGCCACATGGCACTCCTACCACCGTGCCATCCTGCTGTGATGGACTGTATGCTCTCAAACTGTGAGCCAAAATAAACACCTGCCCCCTTCCGTAAGCTGCTTTTGTCGGGTGTTTAGTAACAGCAGCAGCAGCAACAAGTAAGATAAAGAGGCTATTCCAAACAATGTTGTAAATACAACATGTGGATATGTCCCAGTTTTTCTCTAGGTAGATACCTTAGAGTGCAGTCTCTGGATTTTGTGCATGCACACATTCATGTCTATTGTTAATGAGAATGATTCATTCATTATTCTGCTCTCCAAAAAACATAGGGTAATGACTTTTGGCAAGATCCTTGGTTCTGGTCACATGTCACTTGTACCAGTAATATCTCACTATGGTTTAAATTTCATTTCATTGATAAAATTATCATTCCATAGGTCTGTGGGCCATCCCTTTGTTCTAAAAGATCTGGTTGAGTCTTCTCTTTTTGTCTTTATCTTCTTTGGGGTTTCAAAATTGTCTTACAGAATCTGTATCCCAGCCAGGCCTGGTGGTGCATGCACCTGGGAGACAGAGGCACACAGATCTCTATGAGCCTGAGGCCAGGTTTTTCTGCATAGTTAGACCATGTCTCAATAATCCAAAAATAAGTAAGTAAATGGATTCCCAATTCATTGTTGGCTCTGTGTGTTTAGTTTTTTCTCATTCTGTGAACTGGTCCTCCTGTCCCTTAACATATGTTTGGAACATACATTCTTAACTGCTACATACTCAAATTTATAAATCTTTCACTTGCTATTAATGCTTTTGCATCCGGTTTAGGAAATTCTTCCTGACACACAAGGCTATAAAGGCATTCTTCTATATCACACTCTGAATCTTCAGACTTTCGCTTTTTTATGTGTCTTTGGTTAATAAGACTTAATTGCTTCTTGCTCACAGTGTGAGAAGGGGCTCTCGTTTTGTTCTCCTCCCTACAGAAACTCAGCTATCCCTGTGCTATTTATTGCAAGTCTATCTCTTTCCCTGCTGATCTGAGCTGCCACCGTGCATACATCAAATGTACACAGAATGGGTCTGTCCCCAGCCCCTCCACACTGGTCCATGGATGGGTCTATTTATCAAGCCCAGTGCCAATACTACTCAGCCTTAATGGTGATAGCTCTCTAATAAGTATTTATATCTGGTACAGGGTGTCCTCCCACCCTATTCTTCTTCTCCACGAGTACCCACTCCTGGCCCTTGGCACTGCCATATAAATTTTAAAGCCAACTTGTCAAGTTCTAGAAAAAAAACCTATCGGGATTTTAATTGGGATTTTACTGAGTCTATAAATCAATTTGGAGAGAAATGACATCTTTACAGTGTTAAGCTGTCTACTCCACAGAGTGGTGTTTTTCTCCATTTATTTAGGTCTTCTTTAATGGCTTTCAATAAAACTTGATAATTTGCTCCATTAACGTCCTGTATATATTTTGTTGCAGGTACTTCATAGTTTTAATGTCACCATGGGAAAAGCTGATTTTGAACTTCATTTTATAACTGTTGCTAACTGAAAAGGAATTTAATTTAGTCAGTTGATTTTGTGCCCAGATGTTTGGCTTCTTGTATTCATCCTGGAAAATGTGTAGTTACTTTTCATTTCCTATATAGAGCGCCATGTTGACAATGGATCCTTCTCTTTCTAATCCTTCTCTTTCTTTCTTATTTTCCTTATCTCCTATATTTCTGGTGCTTCTGGTATAATTTTTGTTGCAGGGTGGGGTTGTTCATGCCTTTCATCTCAGGACAACAGGAGGCAGAGGCAGGTGGATCTCTATGAGTTCAAAGCCAGTTTAGTCTACATAGCAAGTTTCAGGACATCCAAGGATACATAGAACGACCCTGCCTTAAAACCAAACAAACAAACCAAAAACCCTGACGTTTGTCAACACAGGTAATCGCTAACCTCATGTTGAAGAGAAAGCTTTCAAATGCCTGATTATTTAGCGAAATGTTTGCACATAGTCTTTACTAGTAGGCTGAAGATGCTTCATCCTATCTCCAATGTGATAGAGTCATTATTGTGGATATTGAAATTGAGCTTTCTTATTCCTTTTGCATCTATCCAATGAATCTAGCGATTTCTCCTGTAATGTGGAAATGTGATGGCTAGCACTCATTGGATTTTTAATTGTTAGATTATCGTGTGCCACAGGGACAAACTGCTTTGGTTGAGGTACAGCTGTGGCAAGAACAGGCCTTTGAGCTGGGGCTGCTCTAAAACAGGGCTGTGGCCCAGGCAAGTGACTGAACCTCTGGTGCCTCAGTCTCCTCATATGCTGGCACAGAGACAACAGTCCTAACTCACAGAACTGTTGGAAAGGTTAGTGACGTGTGCAAAATGATTCAGAAGTTCTCATGGTGTATTAAGCACCATGGAAGTGTGAGTGGCTTTCCTGACTAGACAACTTACTTTAGAAGTTTTGTATGAGTAATTTTTAGTTTGTGATTTTTCCTTTTCATAAATCACCTTTGTATTTGGATTTTTCCTCAATTTATAAGCATAGTTGTGAAGAATTTTGTGTAGATATAATTTAATCTTTTCTCCCTCCCTCCCTCCCTCCCCCCTCCCTCCTTCCCGTGTGTGTGTGTGTGTGTGTGTGTGTGTGTGTGTGTGTGTGTGCGCGCGCTCATGCCACAGCACATGTGTAGCAGTCAGAGGACAATGGAGGGAGTCAGTTCTCTTCTTCCTTCATGGACTCCAGGGTTTGATCTCGGATTGTTAGTCTTTAAGGCAAGTTGACTTGACGAAGCATCACAACAGGACTGAACGTAATTTTCATGTTATACCTTCAGTTAGGAATTCCTAAGTCTAAGTTTTGTAATGTATTGACCTGCAATTAGTTGTAGAATCTTTTTTATTATCATTTAAATACTTGTGCATCTGATGAACTGGGAGGCATTTCTCTTTTAATGAGTAAATGCGGCGGCAGAATCCTATTCTCCTTCCTGACAATGGATGTAGGGAACTTGGCTCTTTCTATCTCCCTTGACCATTTGGGAAGGTCAGAATGAAGCTGCATTCAGGAGATGAGCAAACGAAGCTCAGAGAATAGAGACCTCCAGATCCCCAAAGACAGGCAAAAAGACATAGAAACAAGGGAAGATAACTAAGCTGCCTGAGGGGTTTTGGTTCACATCGACCAGTTAGTTCCTGAAATTTGTTTTCATTTTGTATTATCAGCCAATTTTTTTTTCTTTTGAGATGGGGTCAAACTTGTAACCTGAGGGCCACCCTCCATCCCTAGCCTTAGTGGAGATTCTTTGAGTGAGTTTCTGTGCCTTGTGACCAAAGACCCCTGGCTTAATCATGACCTATGGGATACCAGGCTGTGCTATTGCATTTGGTGCAACAACTCAGGCTGGTTAATCAGATGTTATTTGAGTACCTACTCTTACTCCGTGAAGTAACTTATGACATAAAGCAGGAAATATAGACTGGAGGCACAGTTCTTAGTCTACTGGACACTTAGTTTGTCACTTCTATAATTGTTTTGGGAGAAATAATTGGCAGATAAAACCAGGAGCAACTAGGACACGGGGGGGGGGGTGGTAAGGAGATATGGGGGATGGGGGGCAGGGAGCATGGGAGGATGGGAGGGAGAGGGAACGGGGACTGATAAGTAAAATAAGATTGTTTCTAATTTAAATGAAAAAATAAAACAAATGGAAATATTCAACAACAACAATCATGCACTAGGTAGTACGGATTCTGGATTCTAATTGGTAATGTGAGCCCGGGAACGGAAACAGAAAGGAAGTGGATGTCTCAGGCTTCCAAGATTTGAATTCTTGGAAGCAGCAGGGAGGCTTGGGGAGGCTGAGCAGTAGCAAGGGTGAGAGAAAGTCAAAGATGCACTGGGCTGGCCTTGAACCTGCTATGTAGTCAAGGATGAACCTGAACTCCTGACTCTGCCTCCTAAGTGCAGTAATTACAGGCATGCGCATCATCCCAGATTTATGTGGTGCTGGGGATCAAGCCTCAGGACTCACGCATGACAGGCAAGAGCTTTGCCGCCTGAGTTATCTTTTCAGCCCTTAACCATTTTTGATTGATTTGACGTTCAAACACTTTAAGGATATCTTTTATTTATTCATTGACAATTCCGTACGTCCTTACAATGTATCTTGATGATACCCACCCTCAACTGCTTCTTACCACCTCCTATACATCTCCCTCCCACGTTCACGACCCCTCTGAGTCCAGTTAGTGCTGCCTGCTGGAGTGTTGCCTGATCTTGTAGGCTTGACCTTGTGCAGGTAACCATAGCTACAGTGAGCTCATGATTGCATCAGCCATGCTGTATCCAAGAACACACTTGTCCATGTTTTAAAAATTAATCTTTCCAGGCTTCATCTGTGGCTTTTCTCTTTAGCCAACATTCCTCAGTCATGAGCACATTTTCTCCCCCCCTCCCCGCCACACATCCTCTTTTCTTTCTTTCGCATGTTTAAACTGGAACCATTCTTTATGACTTTTTTTTTCCTGGAAAGAACCCTTGCAAGAACAAGAAGACTGCCTGGATTGTTTGGAGATGGCCGATTCCTCTAAATTTAGGGCTTCTTCCAGGAGTTAACAATCTCCACGGTGAGCTGGGCCATTTTTCCCATCTGCAGACTTTGCAGCTGACCTTCACCTCTGGGCAGAGGGTGGCATGCAGTGTGTGACCCTCCCTGTGCCATTCCTCTTCTCCTAAGCTCCTGTCTCCAGTAATGTCATCACTTCCTGGAAGAGTCAGACCATCTTTGGTCTATTTTACTGTTAGGGTTTAGCAAACAGCAGCCTCTAAGGGCTGGGCCGAGCTGAAGGCAGATTGACAGCTCAAGATTCCAAAAGCCAACTTCCCAGAGTGACTCCCTGACTTCTGGAGGACGAGGAGGCAGGAAAGCGGTGGGCCGGTGGCACAGAGCTGAGACACGATGGAATCCGGCTTTACCTCCAAGGACACTTATCTAAGTCATTTTAATCCCCGGGATTACTTGGAAAAATATTACAGCTTTGGGTCCAGACACTGTGCAGAAAGCGAAATCCTCAGGCATCTGCTGGAAAATCTCTTTAAGATATTCTGCCTCGGTAAGTTTGTCCATCTAAACATGAGTCACACTGAGTCTGAGGGGATGAGTGGACTTGTGCCTGGTCATCACTCCTGGAAAGTCTGTTGGCATCACTCATTTGTTTAACGAGATTAGCTATTTTGTTGATTTAGCTATTTTACACTTTATATTAATATCCATTATGTTTTATATGGTCTTGAAAAATGAAGCCAGAGGGCTTGAGGGCTGACCTTGCATCTACAGTGACTTTCTAGGTGGCTTGAAGGAGCCACTCAATCTCATGGGACACTTCAGAGAGTCTAAGAGAGGAGACATGGGTGCTGGGGCACAGGACTCAAGAGACAGGAGGATCAGCCTGGACTACATAGTGCTTTTTTAGAAACTCTAGGCTACGGAGTAAGACTCTGTCTCAACATAGTAAATAAATTGAAAGTTTGATTCTATTCTTATTTGAAAGGAATATTTTCCCATGTGGTAAAAGACCTTCTCAAACATTAAGAGCTGAGTGCTTTGATCATAAATAATCTCAGTGTTTTAACATTTTTTATTCATGTGTGTCTGTGTAAGTGTATGTGTCCATGTTGCATGCCTATGCATGCATGGGGCCACAAGAGGGCATCATGTGTCCTCTTCCATCACTCTCTCCTTCTATCCCTTTGAAGCAGGGTCTCTTCCTAAGCCTAGGGCTATGTTTTGGCTAGGCTGGAAGCCATTAAGCCCCAGAGAGCTTCTCCTCTCTGCTCCTATCAGAGAAGGGATTATAGGCATTTATGAGATGCCTGGCTTGTTACATATGTGCTGGCCCTCATCAGTGTGGAGTATGTACTCTTAACTGCTGGGACATTTCTCCAGTCCCTAAATTCAATTGTTAAACAACAAAAAAATGAACTTTCTACCAAAGTACTCCTTAAAAGTTTTCACATTGTCACTGTCATCATCTTTTGGAATCAGTGGTCTGTATACCAGATGTAGATCTTGCTCACCTGCAGACATCAAAATAATCCAGCAAAACATGCCTCCATTTGGGACTGGGCATGAGTGAGGCAGGGATAGAAAGCAGAATGATATCTTACCAAATGATGTTAATGGACAGTGGTGACTGGTGTGACTGTTGGTTGGGAGCCATTATGGCACAATCCCAGTAAAGACAGTGCAACCCCAGCTCAGCCTGTTCTCTTATGCTGCCTGATCCCTGCCTCTTCTGTACCAGGTGGTGTGAAGGGAGACCTCCTGATTGACATTGGCTCTGGCCCCACCATCTATCAGCTTCTGTCCGCCTGTGAGTCCTTCAAGGAGATCATTGTCAGTGACTACACAGACCAGAACCTTCGGGAGCTGCAGAAGTGGTTGAAGAAGGAGCCGGGGGCCTTTGACTGGTCTCCAGTAGTCACCTATGTGTGTGATCTCGAAGGGAACAGGTAGGGTGATGGGGATCTGCTCTTCAGCTTTCTGAAGGGACCTGTTTCTATTAGCCCAGGAAGTATCATTAAAATTCAGCTAAAAACCACAAACTCAAAGACAGAGACCAAAGGGAACTCCAAATGGAGAATGAGGGCTGGGAAGGATAGATTATTGGGTGCCATCCATACCATCTGAGTACTATTTTATTGTCAGTCCTCCAGCCAAAGCTGGTGGCTCTGTGTGTGCCTAATGTTGACATGATGAGAAACAGCGAAACATTGACCAGGTTTTTTTTTTAACTGACAGAAGCAATATGAAGCAATTATGTGAGAAGGAATTCATTACTCACCATCCATAAAATTAGAGCCTAAAGGGAGCTGGGAGATGGTCAGTGAGCAAAGTTCTTGTCATGGGAACACAAGGACGTGAGTTCATCTCCCTCCCATTTAGTTAAAAAGCTGGTCTTTCTCCAGCACGTCTTCTCATCATCTTTATTGAAAACCAGCTGGCTGTAGATGCATGAAATTAATCCTGGGTTGTCTAGTTTGTTCCATTATTCTTCAATTTCTGGGTTTTTTTGTGACAGTACTATGCTGTTTTGGTGACTATAGCTCTATTGTTGTTGTTGTTGAGGTGAGGTAGTGTATGATTCCTGATTTCCTTTCTTGGTACTATTTGGGCTTTGTGTGTTTATGGTTATATACAAATTTTAGATTTTTCCCAACCCTGTCATTAGTGTCTTAATAGGAATGACATTGGCTCCACAAATTCCTCTCGGTCATATGGACATGTTCATGATCTTGGTTGTTCTAATCTGCTGACAGATCTTTCCATTTTCTTGGAGTCTGCACTGTTGTTCTACCTTGATGTTGTCATTGTAGAGATCATTGGTTTGTTTTAGTTAATTTTATTTCAAGGTTACTTATTTATTTACTTATTGTAATAGAATTGACTTCTTGATTTCTGTTTCAAAGAATCCACTACTGGGGCATAAATATTCAAGTGAATGTTCTGAAAGATTAGTTAGTACTCCTTGGTGCATGGTTAAAGGAACTAGCATCCATGCATCCATTCATCATCCATCCATCCATCCATCCATCCATCCATCCATCCAACAAACCTTGTTGAACTACTGTGATGCACCCCATAATACTAGCTCTTAGACCAGAGCAGTGAATGAGACAGAAGAAACCCTTTATGTTTTATAGTTCCTCTCAAGGAAGGCAGATAAAGGTCAGGTCATTCAGGTTCTTCAAGAGCATGCTAACGATTATAGCATTTAGTAACAAATTGAGAGGCTGTTTTCATATACCCATTTAACTTAGAACCCTCTTAGACATTTAGTATAAGTGAAGATAATTCTTAAAAATGAAGGTGAGTCTTTCTTATATGAAGTACGTGGTTCCTCAAGGCAGAGTTAGAATAACTTGCTGTGAGGGTTTGTACACTATCAAAACTTAATAAGCAAATGTGTATTTACCAGGGTTGATAGAATTTCAAAGAAAGTTTATTAAGCACAAGTTTTCTGCCATTGTGAGACAACACACTTTGCTGAAATCCAAAGCATGTGACCAGAAAGCTCTGGGAGCTGCATTCCTATTTTCCCCAGACATCACAGCCCACATCTCATTCAAAAAGCCAGCCCTTCAGTCTAGCAGGATACTAAAACAATCACTTATGTCCCTGTAGAACCATCAACTCAGAACAATTGCCTCTTAAGACGGTCTCCCATCCCCATCGCTTGGCCCGGATGAGAAACTGTACTTTTGTCAGGAAGTGCCTCACCCCTTCCTTATCCTCACACCAGATCCAGTAGCTTCAACTATTTTTAGAACGATAGTGATCCCATTCGGCTTATGTCTCTCTTGCATCTCCGAGTACCTCTATCAACCTAAAGTCCATTTCCCTCAAGATTATTTCTTCTTTATCTGAAGATATTTCTTGTGCTGATGGCTCCTGAGTACAACAGAAGCTAGCTTTTTGGGAGTACAACTCAGACATTTAAAAATCACTCATTTCATGATTGAAAGTTTTAAGACATCCATACCAAACCCTTGTCTCAAACCTTGAGACATTAATGTAACTACCCTCAGTCTGTTATGAGCAAGGGAAATAAACTCTTTCCTTAAGAAATTCTAGAAACAGGAGCTGGCCTGGTCATTGGGAGCTTTAAGAGACCTTGCTGCTGTTGCAGGGACCCTGAGTTCAGTTCCAAGCACCCACATTTCCAAGCTGCCAGTAACTCTAGTTTTAGGGGATCCCTTTTCTGGATTCTAAGGGTAGCACCACACACACACACACACACACACACACACACACACACACACACACACACACACACACACACAAAGAAAAAAGTAAACTTCGAAAAGAAATCCTAGAAATAACATGAATCAGCCTTTGGCCCCTTGAACAACACATTACTTAGCTTTGGGATCCCCAGATTAGCAACTTCAATATATCACATAGTAGCATGTTAGGAATGCAGACTTGGGCTGGAGAGGTGGCTCAGTGAAGAGCACTGACCACTCTTCTAGGTTCAATTCCCAGCACCCACAAGACAGCTGATAACTCTGTAACTCCAGTTCCAGGGACTCTGACTCCCTCTTCTGACCTCTGGACACACATGCTATTGGTGCACAGACATATAGGAAGCAAAACACTCATACGTGTTTTGTTTTTTAAGAAGAAGAGATGGAGGCTGTCCAGCCTCACTGACTGTCAGCACAGGCCTTGAGTTCCTACTTCCATGAGATCTGCTGAGGTAACTATGACAGCGGGAGGAGACCTGGGTCTACAGCCAAGATTACCACAGACTCACCAGGATACACAGGAGACCACAGACCCACCAGGATACACAGGAGACCACAGACTCACCAGGATACACAGGAGACCACAGACTCACCAGGATACACAGGAGAAGGGAGATGAGTGGGAGTGTGCTGCCAAGTTCTTTTCCCCCACCTATATAGCTGGTGGGGGGTTTGATGGGGACAGAGACTTCCAGAACAGAGAGCAGTGCCCCCCCCTCTGTGAACCTGCCAAGAAAGAGCTAGAACACTTGGAACATGACTGTTCTCTGAAGCCAAAGTTCCCCACACAGAGGTTGGTAAGGGCTGGGCATGGTGCTTAACCCAGCACTCAGGAGGCAGAGCCAGCTTCAAGTTCAAGGCTCCCCTGAACTACAGAGCGAATTCTAGCCTAGCCAGGGCTACGTGGCTCTTGTTTGTTTTCATTAATGTATTAATTAATCTAGTGATCTGATGCTTTATTTGTGAGTTTACTATGATTGTTTTATATTAAAAAAGTAAAACAACCAAAAGGCAAGATTCACAAAACAAATAGAACAAACTCCAAACCCACAGCAAAAGTTGGTCTATTATTCCAAAAGATACATAGTTGAGCCAAATTTGTTCTTCAATCCCGTGTTCTGTCTTTGTGGCAAGTATCTCTGGATTTTCAAACTCACAAAAGCTTATGAATATGACTCCTTGGGACCTTGGTTTCTTGATGGTCTTGGTGACTATTTGGTAACTGATACTTTTTATGGAAATTCTCTCTTTCAGGTAAGAACTCTCCTATCTCTCAATAGCATTATCTCTCTGAAAAGATGAATGGGATTGGTTGAGAAACCTTCAATTAGCCATTTCCATTCATTATAAAAATTTCTGAGCTATGTGGTGGTGGCGCACACCTTTAATCCCAGCACTCGGGAGGCAGAGGCAGGTGAATCTCTGTGTGTTCAAGGCCAGCCTGGTTCCAGGACAGGTTCCAAAGCTACACAGAGAAACCCTGTCTTGAAAAACAAACAAACAAAACACAAAAAAGCAAATAAGCATCTCCATGTATAAGTGTCAAAGGGCCTGAGACTCAGTGTACACAAAATAAAGAGATGGCCCCTGGCATCCTCCATAGCTAGTATTCCTGGCTCCTTGAATGACGTCATCAGACATTTACTTGAATGATCCCAAAGCCTGGGAATAAATAAACTTCCTCTCTGTCATGGGCCACACCTAACCCAGTTCCAGCTTCTGTCTATTTTTCTTCCTGAATTTCCCTTTACTCGGTTTTCTTCTTGAATTAGTTCTCTGCATCTTTATCCAAGCTAACATCATCTTTGTCCAAGCTACCATTCTGGTTGACATAACCTCCCATCTCTACCATAGTCCTTTCATTCAGTTCTCTACAACCCCAGTGACCATTCCAAGACAAACTTCTGATCGGGACCATCCCTCCTTTTTTAAAGCAAGGTCTTACTTGGTAGCCCAGGCTAGCCTCCAACTTGTGATCTTGTTTCTGCTCCCAGGGTTTTATGATTGCACACCTGTCCATAGCACCATTTAGAATTCCTAGGATAGAAAACAAAAGTCCCAGTTTTGGAGATGGGTTCTCACTGAGTAGCCCTGACAGCCTGGAACACACTCTATAGAGCAGGCTGGCCTCAAACTCACAGAGATCTGCCTGCCTCTCCCTCCTGAGTGCTGGGATCAAAAGCCATGTCTGGCCCAAAAGGTAAACTTTTAAGTTTTATCCACAAAGTCTTGTTTTGTCTGGCACCCAGCATTTCATATGTCTGACATTCCAGTCCCAGGGACTGTACTCTGCAGGTGGCTTTACACCGGCTGTCTTTTCTTGCTGAACCATCTTCCTCCCGATGCCTTCTACCTGGTCAATGATGGCGGATGCCTCCTCCGCATCTCTGCTTGCATGGCTCCTTTTGGAGGTGCTTTTCTTTCCACTGTAGACCAGATCGAGCCAGGATCCCAACATCCCATGTTCCTTTCCTCCTTGAAGTTGCCCATTTTCACTTCCATGTTGGTGAGTAGTCCTTAGATTAGCTATTTTTCTCTCTTCCCTTCTAAGACAGGAGCTGTTCCTCTTTGTTCATTCCTGAGTCCCCAGTACCTTTGAGTCCCCAGTCCCCAGCACATGACAGAGGTTCAAATGGAAGGGTTACGGGCAGTTCTTGCTGTCTCTCACAGTCAGTTCTTAGGTGGATACTCAAGTTTATTCTATTTCTCTGTGTTGTCGCTCAGAAACAGGGTCTGGTGTGCCCCAGCTGGCTTCAGAACCCTTCTGTCCTTGAGGATGACCTTGAACTCCTGATACTGCCTCCACCTCCTGAATGATGAGTAAGGGCAAGAGCCCCTGAGCACACCAGGCTTCTTCAACCTTTATGTCCTTGAGCTGTTTTGACGGCTTTGTCAGGAGGGAGTTCTGGAGGCTATGGGGATGGAGCTTGGGCAGTGGAAAGGGCTCCTGTGGAGATTCTAACTTGCCAGCTGCCTTGCTTCTCCAAGGAGGCAGAATCTCCAGACAATTACTGGGTATGGGAAGACACTCTCTCAAAAGGTTCCTGCCAGGAATCCTTACCTTTTTCTCCCTTCTCTGCCATGTCCCTTTGGCTTGTGTAGCTAGCATACACACAGGGGAAATGGCAGCCTCTGCTTGAAAGAGTCGATCTTTACAAGGAGAGCAACGGCCAGCCTGCAGTTAGCTTTCTGTAAACCAGGCTCCGTGCTGCTCAGGTATGTGTTTATCGCCTTGTCCTTGAGCTAAACGTGAGGCTGAGTGGTAATTGCCTGGGTCTCCGGGCAAGTCCATTTCCCTGTGGGTGTTACCCACAGTCCTCAAGGAGCCCTGAGGGGTAATCTTTACACAGCTGCCTTGGCAACTAAGTTCACCAATGTTTGCTATGCAGCCAAGGACAAGCAGGTACCAGCAGCGATGGGAGAGCCTAACAAATTCCCCTTCTCAAATTGGCACATTTCCTGTGAGCTTTCGAGATTTCACAGTGGGCTTCACAGTTTGGGAACAATTTCCATCATCGTCTGACTGGCAAGCGCTAGTTCTGTGGTAATTTGTGTCTTTAAAATAGCTTAAAACACAACAGGGCACAAAGGTCCACTATGCTTCTGACGTCATCATTTAAATACACATTGTCACCATGTCCCCGACCGAGAGTGGCATTTTAAGCCCCCACCCCCCAAGTCACCATGATCTATTTTCTTAACCTCTTCCATACACTTGTTATGTACATGTGTAGGCAGGTAATTCCAATTTTTCTGATCTACTTTCTTTACCTATTCAAATCTGGTTTTCACAGACACCTATTGATCAGTTTTTCTTCTTAACATGTTCTGTCAAATTATCTGTATTCTAGCAGGGCAGAGTGGCATCCCTACTTTTAGAATGACACTCGTTCTACTTTGCTCAGGACTGCAAAAAGAACCCAGCACAGGAGATTTCAGCATAGGAAAATTTTAAACTGGAAAAATGCAAGGCTACTCAGGAGAAAGTGGTTGTCATAGGACCTTCTTCATCCCTAATAGGGACCAGGTAGACTAATCAAGGGTAACTTTTAAAAGATTTATATTTATTGTCCTAAATTATGTATATGTGTCTCTATGTGGGTGTGTGACTATGCATTCAGGGACCCATGGAGGCAGGGAATGTCAGATCCTCTTGAGCTGGAGTTACAGTTGTGAGCTACCTGGGGGGGGGGGAGACAGAGACAGAGAGAGAGAGAGAGAGAGAGAGAGAGAGAGAGAGAGAGAGAGAGAGAGAGAGCAGTCAGAGGCATCAGGAATAGTCTAGAGAGAGAAAGAAGTACGTTGAACATGGCCAGCAAACTGGACACGACCAGTGCAATCTTCAAAAGAGGGGTTAACAGCAGAGAATAGAGAAAAGGAAAAGCAGCAGGAACAGAGGAGAGAGGGGGAGGAGGAGGAAGAGAGCAAACAGGCAGAATAGCAGGGTTATAGGGAGAATGAGCAGCTGGGGAGAGGGAAGCCTATGAGCTGGAGGGAATTTAGAGGAGGGGAGGAGGACTAGGAAGCTAGCACAGACTCTGAAATGTGTCCCAGGTGCTGAGGGAGCCTGGAGGCCAGCATGAGCTTTGAAATGCCAATAGGCACCACAGGTAGCTATATGTTCCTTCTGCCTGAGATAAGGAAAATAACTCTTTAGGTAGACTCCTTTAGCCAGTTTCTTATGAGGCCCAGTGTTTCAACAGTTTATTTCCTGTTGCCTGCAAGACGTGGGACTCTCACCTGCTTCTCCAGCACCATGTCTGCCTGCACAGCACCTCTCAATAGAACTGACCTGGCGACAAGTCTTTAGCACAACAGCCTTTGAGGGACATTCTAGGTGTAAGCTCTAGGACCATAATGTTTCCTGCTCCTGTTTTCACATCTCCATGAATTCAATGAAATTCCATTGATTTGGTGAAAAAGAGACAGGTGTCTTGATGGGGTTACCAAGAAAACGATGTTAGGAAATAGACAGCTGTCTGCAGTCAGGAGAAAGGAACTGACTGGAGACCCTGGCCACAGAGGCAAGATCATCAAGAAGGGTTTCTTTCGGTGTCGTTTGTTTCTTTGAGCCAGAGTCTCACATAGCCTCTTGTAGCCCAGACTGATCTTGAATTCATTAGGTAGCCAACTTCTGATACTCCTGCCTCCACCTCACTAGTGCTGGGATTGCAGGCAGCCGGCACCACACCCATCCTCGGCTCTGACCAAAAAGATCTGTGGTCCCCATATCTAGAGCAGGGAGTGATGCTGGTCCATGTCTGTTTTTCAGAACCAAAGGACTTGAGAAGGAGGAGAAGTTGAGGCGGGCAGTCAAACAGGTGCTGAAGTGTGACGTGACGCAGAGCCAGCCTCTGGGTGGGGTCTCTCTGCCCCCTGCTGACTGCCTGCTCAGCACCCTGTGCCTGGATGCTGCCTGCCCTGACCTTCCCACCTACTGCAACGCCCTCAGGAACCTGGGCAGCCTGCTCAAGCCAGGGGGCTTCCTGGTGATGGTGGATGCCCTTAAGAGTAGCTACTACATGATCGGAGAGCAGAGGTTTTCCAGCCTTCCTCTGGGATGGGAGGCTGTTCGAGATGCTGTGGAAGAGGCTGGCTACACCATTGAGCGGTTTGAGGTGATTTCTCAGAACTACTCTTCTGCCACAGCCAACAATGAAGGACTGTTCTCCCTAGTGGGGCGCAAGGTGGGCGGAGCTGAATGACATCCTGTGATCCCAGTGAAAGGCTCGCTGGCTCATTCAGACTGTGGCTCTGACAGCAGTGCTCACTGTGTGGTGTAGAAGCTGACTGGTGGGGCCCCACGGTTCAGGGTGGGGTGCACAGTCAAGGAGGAGCCCACGGACCATTCCTCTGTGCTCCATACATCTATTAATGCTATGGGACCCCCAGGAGAGTAGCTGAGACATCTGGTCTTCTCTACCTGTACTCACAAAAGAAGCCTCGGCACCTCAAGCAGTTACAGCCGCACCTGTGAACCATATGTGAATCAAGCCCGCGCCTGCCTACAGAGACATCAGTTATTCACCGTTAACCTCACAGGAAGTTGCTGTACCCTTCTCTTGCCTTCTTTCTGGAGAGACTGACTTACCCCAGCCTCTGATACTGATAAATCTGCTCTGGGCTCAGTCAGTCTCCAATAGACTTCCCCACTACTGGCACCAATCTGACTTCAGGGACCAGAGGACAGCTGACCTGTATTTCTTCCAATTCATCCCAATGATCCAATTATTTTCTTTTCTAGAGCTCATCTCGTTTTCAAATTCTATCTAACCTCTCTGTGCCTTGGTTTCCTCATCTGCAAAATGAGGTTGAAATGGAACCACTTGTTAAGATAAGCTAGAAAGAATCCAGAGGGATGCTTGGTACCCAGCGAGCATCTAATAAATGTTAAGGATCATGAGCATCATTATCATCACAGTCATCATACTCCCATCTTTGCTATCAGTTGCCCAAGCAGCTGAGATGTTTCCATCCCCACGTAGAAGAGGGGGCCTTCTCCGGGCTCTCCACTGCTGTGACTGTCAGGAGCACCTATAAGAAAACAGTTTCCACACCACAAGCTTCCAGTTCCTTTCAGATTCAAGAGCTATCCAGCAAACATGTATTTAGCATCCTCCATGTGTCTTCCTTCTGCCAGGTCCTGGGAATGGAAATGAAGCCCCAGTGTCAGCTAGCTCAAGAGTCCTCGTCTTTGTAGACACAGTGACATGACAAGTGCTCCCAGATGCTGTCAGACAGTGCTCTCTGCAGTTTCCACCCAGATTTCCAGCTCAGCATCTTCTGCTTCCACTGTCCTGTCTGGCAGTGCCTGGGGTGGTGTGGGGGGGCATATGGAGGAAGCTACTCCCCTGCTTGTGTGTCAGAGCCATGATGGCTTCTTGCCCAAGAGGCAGAGAACACTGTCTATACCAAGGTTGGCCAAGAGTCAGATAGCAAATAATTTTTGGCTTTGTGGGTTATACAATCTTTTCTTATTGATTGATTTGATTGATTGATTGATTGATTGATTGATTGATTGATTGAGGAGTAAGTGGGTGAGTGTGAGTTAGACAGTGTATCACCATGTAGTTCTGGCTGTCCTGAGATACACTCTGTAGACCAGGCTGGCCTTGAACTCACAGAGATCCACCTGCCTCTGTCTCCCAAGTGCTGGGATTTAAGGCATGCTATGGCGTGCCTGGCCTTGACCATATAGTTTTGATCATGGCTATTCAATCCCATATTGGAGCAGAATGAGCCACAGATGACATGTAAACGAAAATGCAACTCCCCTTACTAAAACAGGTGGATGGGTAGGTTTATAGACCTTTGATCTGGGATCAGAAGCAGCCTTATTTGTGGTTCGAATTTAATGAAGTCTCTTGTGTACACTTTTATTATCTTGTGATATTCAGTCCTACTTGTGAGGGAGCTCAAACCCTATACACGGGTGAAGACCGGGACAGGTGGAATACTATTTCTTCTCACTCTGTCCTAACTCGTTCTCTCTTTATTGCTGTTCCCCTCAACCAACCCCCATCTAGTCTGAAGGCATTCCATAAAAACAAACAGAAAATGAGGGAACAAGTAGGGGCAGGGAAATGCTGGACAAAATGTCCACTACACCAATATTTTTACCCCGAAAGTTACAATACACACTGGAGTATCATAAAAATCCACTGAGACACCACAATACACATTATAAAAATGACAGAGAAGAAAACTGGGCAGAAACAAATCCCTGAAAATAGAGCAGCACGCAACAATGCTTTGCAAAGTTTTGTTTTACAGATCATATCTATCTGCTTACACGCTGGCTGCATTTAGGCACAGCTAAGTTGGCCCTGTAGGCTTCTTCCACTTGGAGATAGCTTTGTGACTGTGTATCTGTCTGAAAGATATTTATTGCATGCGTGTTACTGCTGTTTTAATTTCATTTCTCTTGCTGTGATAAAAAAAAACTCTGACAGAAAGCAAGTTATGGGAGAAAGGACTTTATTTCAATTTGCCGTCCAGGTTACAGCCCACCGTTGTGGGGAAGGAAAGGCAGGAACTTCGAGCCCCTAATCATATCACATCCACAGTCGAGAGCAGAGAGGCATGGATGCACATATGATCAATTGCTTGCTTGTCCTCGGCCCAGTCTCGCCACTCTTAAACAGCTTAGGACTCCCTGCCTAGGGAATGGTGTTTCCCACAGTGGCCTGGGTCTTCCCACATCACTTGATTTAATACCATGTCCCCAAAGACATCCCCACAGGCCAAGCCAGTGTAGATGACACTTCACTGAGACTATCATTCTAGGTGATTCTAGGTTGTGTCAAGTTAACAATGGATGCATTTGATGCTGGATTATGATATAACACACATTTATTATTGACAGTGATCCAAAACATTGGAAAACAACTTGCCTGTAATCTGGGATTCTGAGATTGGACTATGAGTACCCACACTTTTTTTCCTTTCAGGCAGAGATAAGATATGTAGCTTCTTCCTCCTAAAGAATGCTTCGTCACTTGGGGAAAGTGACACACAAACAAATATAACACCATGAGTTAAAGAAGGGCTCAGATGGAGTACCAGTAGCACTGGGTGCTTGAAGGAAGGGTGCTAAAGACCATAGTACCCGTTCTGGGTCTTGCAGGCTGAATGAGGGTATGTTTGGCAAGGAGGAAGGGAAAGAAGCCTGGGGACAGTGCGTGCCGATACCTGAAATGTCTCCTACCAGTATCAGACCCACTCTTTACCGGTTTGTTCTTTCAGTGAAACCCAGACCTAAGCAAACATTTGGCTTCTGGCTTTCTTGTTTGCCCTTTCTGAAATCAAACAGACCCACCAAGTCATGAGCAAACAGACTCAGGGGTCATTCTGGTCCCAACTTGTAAATGTCTTTGACCGCTGACCCTGCTCAGCTTTTGCTAGCAGGCTTTTTGGGGGAAGTGTTGAACAGTTTCACCCTGAGCAAACTTGTATGATGTAGGAGGATATATGGCTATGCACAGTGCCTTGGGGAAGATCAGGGAAAAAGAAAGCTATTGAATAGGTGGTTAGCTCATACAGCCCAGCCTTGGTAATTCCTGTCATCTTTCACCAGTAATCAAAGGAGATATTCATGATATGACTTACCAGGCTCCACTTTGAAGGCTATGACTGCTTCTCGGCCAACTCAGAGATGTGAGGCAACCAGTAAATTGAATGGAGGGGAGAATGCTGGGGACTGGGGGCAGAAAATGTGGTCATAGTTAGAATGTCCCACCACTTTGATTAGCTGGAGACCTTTCTCGAGAACAGGGGCCATAGGCATCTCTCAGGACTAGACTGAAATCAAATGAGATGCCCATAAAGCCATTGTGTAGCTTGCTATGCTATATTAGAAATCTTCAGTATAATTAATTCCTTCTAGAACAGCTGTTGAGACATGAGTTGCTACATTCATTAGATTTTCTTAACGAACAGAGTTAAGCATGATCTTCAAAACATGTTTTGTCTTTTTATTCAAGCCTGCACCATGGATACTTGGAGTACAACCTTCTTTAGAGGTATATTTAAGACATTTAATATATTTAGCACACTCTTGTTAGATTTTAAATCTTGTTTCTGGCTCCATGGGCCTGGGGAAGGGCAGAGGTCATGGGATTGTCTTGGTTGTTATTTGATGATGTAGGAGGGCTCAGCCCACTGTGGGCAATACCATTCCCTAAGCACCTAAGGTGGTTCTAGATAGTATAAGAAGGACGGGTGAGCATAAAGCAGTGATCAAGCCAGTGAGCAGTTTTCCTTCATGATTTCTCTTTTAGCTTCTTGCCCAGACTTCCATCAGTGATAGACTGTGTGACCTGGAAATGTAAACCAAATAAAATTTCCTCCCCTACCAGAGTGGTTTTTACAACAACAGAATGAAGCTAGGACAGCATACTATAATAAATAGATCTTCTGGTCCTCAGGGGTCACCAGCCTTTTTTTGGCAGAGTCTATCCAAACAAGCCACACCAGGCTTTTCTTATAAACTGTGCCTCTTACAGACAGCCCAGGTCTGTGGCAGCTCAACTTTGTAATAAAAAATGTTCAACTTTTGTTTTTGGTTTTTCGAGACAGGGTTTCTCTGTATTGTTTTGGAGCCTGTCCTGGAACTCGCTCCGTAGACCAAGCTTGGTCTTGAACTCACAGAGATCCACCTGCCTCTGCCTCCCGAGTGCTGGGATTAAAGGCGTGGGCCACAACCGCCCGGCCAAAAAGTGTTCATCTTTTACAATGCATTTTAAAATATTATAGCAAAAAGAAACACTACTGCAAATGCCATCACTGGAGCCTCCTGCTTTGTATTTTCCAATAGAAGTAAGAATCTCAATGTTTTGGGCCTTTACAGGCCAGTTCGAGTGGAAGCATGTTGCTTGACCTCTGTGTGGCCAGCAGAGGGCGCACACGGCTCTTACTGAAACTTTTCCCAGCCTGGGACCATTTACGCCAGAAGGAATTTAAATAGAAATTAAATCTTCCAAAACAAAGAAATCCGTTTCCTTTGGAACTCTGCTTATGAGGTTGCTGAGAGAAGAGGAAGAGAGCCTGGCACATTTTTCTCTAACAACAACCAAAAAAAAAAAATACGTGTGATTACTTTTACACACTTTAAAAAATTTCCCTTTTGGGTCTATACACAAAATGCAAATTTTAATAACCCATACAGAAACTCTGGACCAGTTTAGCATGAGAAATGTTGAATATTGGATTAAATTGCCATTACCTTCTATTTCCTGTTTACTAAACAAAGGGACAAGAAGTCTTTGTGCTTTTGCAAATCTTTTAACAGTAAGAAAAAGAACCCGGAAGTCTTTTCGTGGCATTGGTTGCTGACCAAACAGCTAGGCTCCAGATTTTAATTTTAATGTTCATTTTAAATGGTGTCTGATGGAGTTAGAGGAAGATTTGGGGCTGGATTGCAGACCTTCCACAGATCATTGAGTTAATATTGCCTTTGTTCTGACTGAAGTGTTGAAAAGCAGGAAATAGTTTTCCCCTTGCTAAGTTACCGTCCCTCCCTTTGAGGAAAAAGAAAGCCTTTGGATGTTTACTAAACATGTAGGTTGTTCCTAACCAAGTGACATGTACTCTCCAGGAGCAGGCATGGAAGCAATGCAGAGCAAGGGAAGGAAGACAGATGGTTCTGGAACAAGCTGTCAGCCGATTGCTCTTATCCCACTCAATGCCGAGTTTCTGTCTCCGTAACTTGTCCCACCCTCCGCAACTTGCTAAGTGTGGGAAAGCTCTGCAGTTTAATATGACCTTTGCCATTGCTGAATCAATGTATCTAATATGTCTTCCTAATGTGAGTCAAGACTTGGAAAATGAAAAGCTAAAACTCTCTCTTTAATTGCTGAAAAGTTGAGGCTGGGGTCAAGGCAAAGGGTTTCACCTTTGAAAGCCCTGGTTTCCACTGCATAATGAGAAGTCGAGTTATGTACCCGCAAGGTCCAGTGTTCTATGATCTTATAAATTAAAAGCTATGCTTGTTGAAACAGAATTTGAAAAGTAAAGCCCATGGGGCTGTCACTCGGAGATTTCCTAGTATACACTAGCTCCTGGCAGCCATCTGCAGCGTCGCATACAGCCTAGTGTGGTGGCTCATGCCCATACTCCCAGCACTCAGGTGGTGGGAACAGAAGTTCAAAGTTATCTTTGACTCCGTAAGGAATTTGAGACTTTGTCTTAAAAGAATTTTTTTCAGGTGAAATTGGCCCTAACCCTCCCCTCATGATTCACACAACCCATAATTTCCATCGACTTTTAGGAGATTGGGTTGAAGTGTGGCTTGTATTTTTCCTGGTGACCCCCAGATCAGAGATTGCCCCCCATTTTGGTTTGGAAGTCATCTCATTTCAGTCATGACCTGGTCCTTTTCTGCATCACACAACCCCTGAGCAGACTCATCCTGGTCCTACGGTCTCCTGAAATCCACCGGCTGTAACATACTTGAGCTGTAGGCTTGACTGAAGTGTCAAGATTGAGTTAATGGGAATCAGTCACACTTTAGGATGAAAGCAATTTAAACTTGGTGTCTGTATTAGTCATGGTTCTTCACAGGAACAGAGCTAATGGAATGTATATAATTATAGGAGAGGATTGATTAGATTGTCTTGCATAAGCAGAGGCTGGAATGTCTCACAATGGATGTCTGCAGACTACAGAGTCAGGGAAGCCAGTAACTGCTCTGGTCAAAAAGCAGGGAAAGAGGAACCAACAATGTAGCCCCAGGCTGGGGTGGAAGACCTCTCTAGCCCAACTCAGTGTTCAAAGGTTGAAAAACAAAGGATCTGATGTCTATGAGTGACAGTCACAGCAAAAACTGAGCTTGTTCAAGAAGGATCAGGAGTGATCCTTCCCTTCTGAAAGAAGAGAAGTGGACACAGACCCCCCTCCCTAATCCAGAATTATCTCCAATGACAACCACTCACAAAGGAAAACTTAGCTTTCTCCAGTGGAATCTCTCGCTGGATATACAAACCACACCTAAGGACAGTCCCCATACCCAGCAGTAGATGACAACACAAAATGAACTCGATCAATAGTAATTTTGGAGTATTTTATGTTTGTTTGTTTTTGTCTCAAAGTTTTGTCTAGTTTCTTTTTTTCTTACAAATCTTTTGTTTATATATTATGAATTTTTATGGAGTTTCTGAGCAAGCAAATGTGTGTCTCTAAATCTATATGTGTTTGTTTCTTGTTCCTTTTCTTTGGCCTTTTTTCCCTCCTGTTTGTTTTGTCTTTTCTTGTTGTTGTTGTTGTTGTGAGAGAAAGAGAGAGAAAGGGTGTGGATTTGGGTGGGTGCAGAGGTGGGGAGAATCTGGAATGAGTTGGGGGAAGGGAAAAGCATAATCCGAATATTTTGCATGAAAAAAAACAGAAAACAAAAAGAATGGGAGCTCAGGCTTTCCCTTTCTGCTTTGATCCACTTGAGGCTCCCAGCGTGTTGGATGGT